CCATCAGATATCTAGATATTTCTGAACTTGGAAAATTGACTGCCTTCAAATCTACCATTGCAAAACTACCATAAATCTGTAATCGGCATTTTTATTTATTTACTTTAATTTTATTTATTTAATTATCTTTCTTCCCTATCATTATGCAACGATCTCCAATAACATAATCTTCAACCTGTTGAAGGCGGATGTTGTATAGTAGAAGTAGAATAACCCATCATTGTGCAAAATTCAAAATGAATCAAATTATGTTGCAATAATTTCCATGTTAGATGCCAAAATGACTGACCTATTTTTGTCGCAAGAAAAGCAATTAAAGTGTCAACATTAATTGTTTTAAATATGCGATGTTTAATAATTTTTTGTTTATCTTGTATCTTGGCCTAAATAGAGCCGTTTTTAGACTCAATACGTAATACGAATCCATAGATACTTACATGGATTTTCAACTAACATCGTTAGGCCGAAGGGAGGTAAGCAAGATTGGTTGCGCTTCACATCGTATGCTGTTCTGCAAATTATATCAACAGCGTTGCCTTGAGCTCGAATATTATCCGGGTAGTTTTCTGGTGGTGTTTCCGGAAATGGCGGTGTGAATGGACATTAAATCAAGATTTGTTTTGACCGACCTTCACAGGAAAGATGAAAACTATCAAACGAATAGCTCGTGGAATATGTGACTTTGTAAATGTAATTGAGTACATGAAACATGGAAAATACCCAACAGACGCTACTGACGGCGAAAAACGAAGCCTTCGGAAACGCTCCAAGAGCTTCAGGCTGGATGGCGAAAATCTTTATTATTTGATGAATACGTCAGAAAGTAGTGATGACGTTTCAAAGAGACATGATCGTCTGGTTGTTCTTACGGATGAACAACGTCTGGAGATTATTGCAGAAGCACATGTAGATCCAAGAGGTACAAATACACCATAAATGCGTTGGTGTTGACATGGTCCAATTAAACCAGGGGTTCGATTTACCCTGTTCGGTGATGGCGGATAAAATATTCCACCCCTTCAGTTTATAAGGACCGGGCCTTCAAATGGCACCGTTGGGACACGGCTTCGTCTTTTTAACGTTTTAAATATGTATATACGGCCTGGTCATGCTAAATGAGCAGATTTATTTTAATAAAAAAAGCCTGTTAACGTGGTTCGTTCCATAAAAAGTGATAGAGCATAATGATTGTCTCTCTGACCAGAAGAATAATGACTGGGAGAGGCAGAAATTCTGGGAAGAGAGGGATGGACCTAAAAATAAAATACTTATTGGCTTGGACATTTGAGAGTTAACAATTAATATGTGATTAAATCTATTTTTTAACGAAGTAGGTTCTTGGTCTTTAATTATCATTTTCATTTTATTTAAAAAAAAGTGTAGTAGATACGTGTAGATTATTAACAGCTGTAGAACTAAAAAAATAAATAAATATTGAATCCACTGAAGTTTATAAGGTCTACCAAAAATTTAAGCTCTTTAGATTAAAAATTTGAAGCAACATTATGAACCAATTTGTAAAAACCTGATATTACATGAAAAAAAACCTCAGCACAATTAGTTGGACTGAAATAAGCCAGAGTTTCCTCTGGCCCTGACACCAGAGGTAGACAATATGACATATTAATAAAATCTATAACCTGTAACTGAGCGTGATTGGATTATCTCAGTCGAGGGGTAAGATTCTGTAACATAATCACAACCGAAGCGTAAGCCGAGGCTGAGATGTTACAGAATCTTAGTCCGTGGCAATATAAACAGATCTCGCTCAGTTACAGGTATTAGATTTTTTTCTCTTGCATCTTTTAGTTCTAAAAAGTATTCAATTTTGCTAAAGACTACAAGTATCCAAACTTCCAACTAAATATGCATGGTCTCTTCACTACTAATTGACATTTGAAATCTTCCATGTAAAACTGTAGTCCATCTGTACAAAGAAGACAACGTACTTAACAATGTAGAATATATTTTATCTACAACATCAGATATTTAACTACATTATGTACAATGCAGATTGTCAGTTTCGAGCCGTTTAGGAGGGGATGAATATGTTGCTGTGTAAAAATTCCGCAAAATGTCACTTAAAGGTACAGTCAGATCGGATGAGTTAGAAAAATCTTACATGGGGTATGGCGTGTGATATCGCTGTCTGAGGTGCAAGAAAGATGATTGTCTGGTGTTGGACATCTATCTGTCAAAAGAAGTCGGGCCAGAGGAAACTCTGTCTAGGACTTAAGTTCAGTCATCTTTGAAATCCAAGATCTACTTTTAATATACAATCTCTGCTCCATTGGAATATGTCATAACTAAATTGCAGGCTTAATATAGCTTACAGTTAGACATTTGATTGGTTTCAGATGTAAAAAAGAACTGACCAATCACTGGACTGATACATGTCCTTTCAATAGTACAGATCTAGAGGAAACAAAGGTGCCTTTGATTTTGTCATTATGTATTCCAAAGATGTTAAACTTCAGATGGAAATTCAGACAGGTGTTTAAGCTGTACTAACTGACCTCCTGCAGCTGGTCGCTGGCAATAGATCTGTCGCTACGTCCAAGATAATACATTATGCTGATCACTCCATGTAAATGTGCGTAGAGTTGGATGTCTTCAATATATATAAACAAGAGTTGTAAATTGGTGCCCGTTGCTGCCTAAAGCATGTATATATAAATCAAAAGAAAACATGCTATGAAATTAGGATTGTGAAATATGATTTTTTTAGCCAGTACTAATTCAAATGATGAATGCGAGAAACTGACTTTACAGAATGTTTCTACCAAGTACAGTGTCTTCAGGTTTATGTACAGTATGCAAAGAATTATTGCACTATACAATTTTTAATGGTTTAGTTCTACCATTGCTAATAGATTAAATGTAGAGATAATATTTTTACCATGTGCTGATTAATTTACAGGTGTTCATCTGGGTCGAGAAAAGGCCACAGCAATTATCAACAAGAAGTACTACTGGGTGGGCGTGTCCAACATGGTAAGGGAGTATTCACGAGCATGTCAGGTTTGCCGAGCCAACAGGGCAGCCCAGAGCCAGGCCTACGAACTTTACCGTTCACAAATAACCAGTACAGCCAAAGAAGAAGACGAATTCCACGATGTCGAAACAGCTTCATCATTATCCTCTTCCTTGATGTCCACTTCCTCTGACCTGGCTGATGATTCCATCAAAATGGAATGGCAAATATCATCAGACCCTATGGCATTTGGTGAAGTGGTAGGTGTATTAAAACATACTTTAAAGATGGTTGTGCAAACCAGTTTAGATTGATTACATCATCATATTAATTCATGTAGTTTAGTGATAACATGTGTAAATAAGTGGAAATAAACAGATACAAGTATAAATGTCATGAAAAAAAAATAAAAAAAAAATTCTTGAAGTTCCTACCTGTTCTCTTTGTGGTCCTTAGTTGTGCATATTTCATTTTCAACTTGCATTGATTGGAAAAAATATGTCATTTAGCCATTTAAGTATGTTTTTGGTATTCCTCTTAAAGCACTGTGTGTACATTTCTCAAACTTCACAAAAAAGTTCTTCCTGTTCCCTAGCTTTGAATATTTCATTTTGAGATTCAAGCTGTGCGATNCAATATAATATTTAATGAGAATATTTTGCTATGACTGGTTAAATATTCAGGTGAGCGATACAGGCCCTCTTGGGCCTCTTGTTTTTTTTATATGGATGCCCAAAACCAGAAACATTTCGTCTTTTTCACACATTGCCTTTCTAGTCAAATAACAGAATTAACCTGTTTTTGAAAGACTTTTTGTCAAACACAGCAGTATTAAGTTTTGATTAAAAAGTCTTAACATAAATCCAACAGATACAGGTAAGAGAAAAGATCTCTCTGGGATCTCTTATGTTTTGTCTTAATTACCTGGTAATGTTGAAAATAAAATTACCTTTATATTGTATATATATTATATGCCACCCATTAAAAAGTTTTATTTAACATTTTCTGTTTGCTAGAAATCACTTGTTATTAATATGTGATGATTTGTAGGTGGAGCTGTCGGTTTTGGGTCCGTACAAGTGTCAGAAGAGTAGCCGATATGTGGTGGTTTTCCTGGATGTGTTCTCTAGTTGGCCAGAAGCTTACCTTTTAGATACTGTGACACCAGCAGATATTACACACCTCGTCATGAAATGGGTCTGTAGGTCAGTGGATTTATTTTTTCTCTCTTTCTTTATTTTACGCATGGTATCACTGCTGAACTTTTCTATGCAAGCCAAATTCGCTTATAGTCTTTAAAATGCTATTTAGCTATAAGTGCACACTGAAGGATTTATGGTCATAGTGGAATTGAAAAGACACACAAGAAGTGTTTGTGTGTATGTGTTACCTATAGCTAGTTTTTTTTGTACCAGATGTACCATGAAATATTTGATATTGAAATGAAATCCAACACATAAAGGTGCTGAGTATGGAGCCTCGGTTAACACTGACATTTCTTATTATGCCTCTACATGTTATTTCTTCTTAAACAAAGTCAACAAGAGTACCGCAGGGCAGAACAATATACGCCCGTCGAATGCCATAAAGTGTTATATACTTTCTTACATTGAAATAAGATCTGCATCATTCTAAGAGTGGTTAGCTGACATGCTATAAAAAATGTAGAAGAAAATCTCCACACAAAAAATCAAATACTGAAATAAACAAAGGGCAATAACTTTTGCAAAAATTGTTGAATCAAAATTCTTTGAAGGGAGACACAACTTCATATCATGATTATAATGTATACCAAGTTTCAAAGAGATCCGTTGAAAAATGTAGGAGGAGATTGCTGGACAAACAATAGTTTTACATCACTGACAATTTCAGCCAATGACATGTAAAATTGGACAGTTACTCTTCAAAAGATATACAAAAACAAATGCATTTCTGTACACATAGTAATTAGGTTGTTTTTGCATGGTGCAAAGTTAGCTAATTTTGATGTTCAAAATCCAGTATTTGATTTTCAATATTTATGTTGTATTGAGATATTGATAATGATACAGGGAATGATATGTACATGTAACAATTTGTAAAATTCACTTTTGCGTCATCTCAGAAAACACACATGTGAGGAAAAAACCCTTATATGTGCATTGGTTTGTTGTATAATGTCGCTTACCGGTAGTTAGTTTGATGATGTCTACTGACTTGCTCTGATTTATAGGTTTGGAGTGATGCAGAACCTAAATGTGAAGGACTGTGGACCATCATGCTCAACGACTCAGTGTCAACCCTTAACCAAAGTGTTGAAGGATCAGGGTCTTTTTGATGTGACTATACATCAGTGTTCCACTGTTTGGAATTCATGTGAGTTGTGGTGTTACCTTAAAAATAAACCAATGCCCCCAAAGGTATGGCTTGATGTGAAACAGGATTGGATTTGTTTTTCACTTTTATATTGCATGATGTATATTTTTACATTAACAGTTAATCATGATCTGTATTACTGCTGATATACATGTACATGTAAGAATAAAAATGAGCAGTAAAATGTTTAAAATCAAGAAATAGGTACACTTTAACTAAGCACAATATTAATGGCATCTTTAAGTCCTATTATTAAATACAGACACCACTAATCCTGATGTGCCAATATCTGGCCACCATTTACGAGGTTATCCAGATATCCAGCCATCACTAATCTGGTTGTTTCACTTTCAAGTCACCACTGTATAATCTGGTTGTCCCATCACATTATTTAGCCACTATTATTCTGGTTATACATGAACCACTTCCAAGTCGCCAATAATGCAGTTGTAATTCAAATAGAAACAGCAGATAAGCATGTGATGATTAAATGTTTTTCTTCTTGAAGATGAAAATAAATTCTGTATCATTACATGTATTGTAATTGTGATATGCTGTATTTCTAAATGCTTCTGTGATTTACTTTTTAACTTGTGTCTTTCAGCTGCACAATGGAATGAAGTAGAAAAAAAAGTTGTCAGTTTTATTGAGAATAATGAGTGTTGGGATAAGTGTTTAGATTTTGCCCTTTTGCCTCTGCGTATATCTAGAGGAAAAGATGCGCAGTACACACCAAGCTATTTAACATTTGGCAGGTAATATATGCATGTATTGTACTCATTTTCAATTATGTTTGTAATTTGAATGAATAATTTACACATCTAACTGAAACATTGATTTGAGTGAAGCACTGCCATATAATATAACTAAGTGTCTGTGATTTCTGAACCAAATATATGTGTAGCAGTTAATATTAATGAGCATTACATTTATTTACCACAGGGAATTCCGCCTGCCCCTATACCTATCACATCGAGTGGATGTCAGCTGCACAAGTGCCACACTGGACCCCCACCTGACAATAGGCCAGATGCAGTGCTCAACTGATAGACTAGTCCAACTCTACACAGAATATACCAGTGATATGGGGAAAGAAGTCACGGAACAAAACGTTGAGGTGACGGACAAAACCGACTTTAAAGTACCCACAAATTCTAATCTGTCTGGAAAGAAACGTGGAAAAAGAAAGAGAGGCTTGCAACAAACCGACAAAGAGGTGGAAGAGAACAATGATAATAGTGATGTTGTTTACAGTACTGAGGGTTCAGAGGGTAATACAGACGTTCCTTTGTCTACAGGGCTGCCCAAGGGGGCAAAAAAGCGTAAACCCAGACATTCCCAGCAGCTCAAGGATAGCAAACATATCAAAACAGAATCAGCCAAGGAGGCAGATAATGATGGAGATTTTGAAAAATATGATCAAGAAATGTGCAAGGTACTCACTAATGTAGCGGGAAACTTTCCCTAAGTCAGATATTTGCCCTTAACCAGTGAAATCGAAATTCATCGAGTGTTGACTTGGCCTTTCACATGTAATAACTATATATTGTATACTGTGTATGTCATGATAATTCATCCCTCAATACCATTTTCAACATTTTGATATCAAATAATTGCACATGTGTATATTCATTCATGATATTCATTTCTATTCAACAATATATGTATATAAGGAATTTTATAGCAACATAAGTACACAAATTTATGAACGTCTCATATATCACAACCAGCTCAGTTAATGTTTCATCATGCTTTAGATGTGTTATACGTATACAGAGACATTGTGATCTGTTGGACTTTTCAGATATCCTTAGATGTGTTCTATAGAAGCATTTTGACCTACTTGGAAGAACAGACGTACCCTCGTGGGAGTAGTGAACACCTGAAGCGGTCCGTCAGAAAAGCCCACACTAGTTACTCTGTAGAAGATGGAAAACTCATGTACAACATCGGATCTACTGGCAAAAAGCAGGTGATCACCACACTGAAGAGCAGGATGGAACTCCTGAAGTCTGCACATATAGACTCAGAAGGTATTATAAACTGTTACTCCTATGTATGTGTCTCTTTCCCTGCAGTGTAATGGTAATTATAAACTGTTACTTCTATGTATGTGTCTTTTTCCCTGCAGTGTAATGGTAATTATAAACTGTTACTCCTGTGTATGTGTCTCTTTCCCTGCAGTGTAATGGTAATTATAAACTGTTACTCCTATGTATGTGTCTCTTTCCCTGCAGTGTAATGGTAATTATAAACTGTTACTCCTATGTATGTGTCTCTTTCCCTGCAGTGTAATGGTAATTATAAACTGTTACTCCTATGTATGTGTCTCTTTCCCTGCAGTGTAATGGTAATTATAAACTGTTACTCCTATGTATGTGTCTCTTTCCCTGCAGTGTAATGGTAATTATAAACTGTTACTCCTATGTATGTGTCTCTTTCCCTGCAGTGTAATGGTAATTATAAACTGTTACTCCTATGTATGTGTCTCTTTCCCTGCAGTGTAATGGTAATTATAAACTGTTACTCCTATGTATGTGTCTCTTTCCCTGCAGTGTAATGGTAATTATAAACTGTTACTCCTATGTATGTGTCTCTTTCCCTGCAGTGTAATGGTAATTATAAACTGTTACTCCTATGTATGTGTCTCTTTCCCTGCAGTGTAATGGTAATTATAAACTGTTACTCCTATGTATGTGTCTCTTTCCCTGCAGTGTAATGGTAATTATAAACTGTTACTCCTATGTATGTGTCTCTTTCCCTGCAGTGTAATGGTAATTATAAACTGTTACTCCTATGTATGTGTCTCTTTCCCTGCAGTGTAATGGTAATTATAAACTGTTACTCCTATGTATGTGTCTCTTTCCCTGCAGTGTAATGGTAATTATAAACTGTTACTCCTATGTATGTGTCTCTTTCCCTGCAGTGTAATGGTAATTATAAACTGTTACTCCTATGTATGTGTCTCTTTCCCTGCAGTGTAATGGTAATTATAAACTGTTACTCCTATGTATGTGTCTCTTTCCCTGCAGTGTAATGGTAATTATAAACTGTTACTCCTATGTATGTGTCTCTTTCCCTGCAGTGTAATGGTAATTATAAACTGTTACTCCTATGTATGTGTCTCTTTCCCTGCAGTGTAATGGTAATTATAAACTGTTACTCCTATGTATGTGTCTCTTTCCCTGCAGTGTAATGGTAATTATAAACTGTTACTCCTATGTATGTGTCTCTTTCCCTGCAGTGTAATGGTAATTATAAACTGTTACTCCTATGTATGTGTCTCTTTCCCTGCAGTGTAATGGTAATTATAAACTGTTACTCCTATGTATGTGTCTCTTTCCCTGCAGTGTAATGGTAATTATAAACTGTTACTCCTATGTATGTGTCTCTTTCCCTGCAGTGTAATGGTAATTATAAACTGTTACTCCTATGTATGTGTCTCTTTCCCTGCAGTGTAATGGTAATTATAAACTGTTACTCCTATGTATGTGTCTCTTTCCCTGCAGTGTAATGGTAATTATAAACTGTTACTCCTATGTATGTGTCTCTTTCCCTGCAGTGTAATGGTAATTATAAACTGTTACTCCTATGTATGTGTCTCTTTCCCTGCAGTGTAATGGTAATTATAAACTGTTACTCCTATGTATGTGTCTCTTTCCCTGCAGTGTAATGGTAATTATAAACTGTTACTCCTATGTATGTGTCTCTTTCCCTGCAGTGTAATGGTAATTATAAACTGTTACTCCTATGTATGTGTCTCTTTCCCTGCAGTGTAATGGTAATTATAAACTGTTACTCCTATGTATGTGTCTCTTTCCCTGCAGTGTAATGGTAATTATAAACTGTTACTCCTATGTATGTGTCTCTTTCCCTGCAGTGTAATGGTAATTATAAACTGTTACTCCTATGTATGTGTCTCTTTCCCTGCAGTGTAATGGTAATTATAAACTGTTACTCCTATGTATGTGTCTCTTTCCCTGCAGTGTAATGGTAATTATAAACTGTTACTCCTATGTATGTGTCTCTTTCCCTGCAGTGTAATGGTAATTATAAACTGTTACTCCTATGTATGTGTCTCTTTCCCTGCAGTGTAATGGTAATTATAAACTGTTACTCCTATGTATGTGTCTCTTTCCCTGCAGTGTAATGGTAATTATAAACTGTTACTCCTATGTATGTGTCTCTTTCCCTGCAGTGTAATGGTAATTATAAACTGTTACTCCTATGTATGTGTCTCTTTCCCTGCAGTGTAATGGTAATTATAAACTGTTACTCCTATGTATGTGTCTCTTTCCCTGCAGTGTAATGGTAATTATAAACTGTTACTCCTATGTATGTGTCTCTTTCCCTGCAGTGTAATGGTAATTATAAACTGTTACTCACATGTATGTGTCTCTTTCCCTGCTATGTAATGGTAATTATAAACTGTTACTCCTATGTATGTGTCTCTTTCCCTGCAGTGTAATGGTAATTATAAACCATTATATATGTGTCACTTTCCCTGCAGTGTAATGGTAAACTTATAATCACTGGGATCGCTGTGGTTATGGAGGCCAGGTTTATAAAGAGTTTAAGCTGATGTTGAGTCATCCAGTCTTCATGCATTATATATGTATTTCGGGGAAGTTTAAAAATTATTTAAGCATCGATACATTTTAAAATGTTAATACGTTTTGTAAAGAATCTCATAAAATAGAACATTTATTACATCCTTGCATCAAATGAGTATAAGGTATTGCCTCGACCGTGTATGTGTCTGCATTTGACAAAGTTTCCAGAGCATATCTCGACATCTTTTCATGCATTGACATCAGACTAGACACAAAGGCACATCATATCAAGGTGTGTTGTGTACCAAATTCACATAGTTGTGACCTCTTTTATATTTTGACCTTTGACCACCTATGCAAAAACATAGGCTTACTGAGCAATGCTATGCTACAATTTTATTTCTTTCAATTTTTTTCACAAGAAAGTTTGAAGTAAAATGAACATATCATTAAGATAGGCACTAATTCTAAAAGAAAAACACCTCTGAGAAGTTATTAAAATATCACAATCGCAAGAAATTAGTTTAAATCACAGCAGTTCTTATTGTAGTGCTTAATATGAAAAATAAGATATATTTTGGTAAATTTTGTCTAGCATAACTATATCAATGATACACATCCTATATAGATGTTTATCACACAGAGAAAAATTGATGTGTATCTGTATAGTGGGGTAAACAAGTCTAATTTGTCATCTTTATTGTCCTGTCTGTGGCAGTGTTTCATATGGGAACACATATGTAGGGTGTGGACATATCAACGGAGCCCACAGTTGGAGTTAAATCTTATTTTGATAATTCCTAATGTAATATATATTGACAGGTAATCACATGCCCGTACGACATGTGACGAAGGAGTTATCCCAATACTACTGGAGAGGCATGGTGGCAGATTGTCAAGCATTTGTAGCTGCTTGTCCTACTTGTGATACGAAACGCTCTGAGAAAAAGAGGAATTTACAGGAAGTAGTCTTATTGGCTAGTATCCGAAAATTTGTAAGTTATTAATATCTGTATTGATAACATTTAAATCAATTAAATCTTCTTTCTGAAAAAAATGATCCACATTCTTGTCAAAAATAATTAAGTTAAACCCTTTGTTAAATCGAGGGTTGTCAACCTTCAAAATTTTGTTATTCACCTTAGCCGCTGCAAAATATCATGAAATGTTTACTGCTTTATTGTAGGAGAAAATTGCTGAAGTTGCAGAGAAACACTACTCCTTACTTATACAGTATCTACATAAGTCAAAGTTCCCGCCATCAACCACTGATAAAGATAAAACTGCAGTTGAGAAGATAGCCTCCCAGTTTAAGCTTGTCAAAGGTGTCCTGTATTTGATGGACAAGTCGTCATCCATGTGTGTGGAAATAGCCAGTCGAGCCCGCAAAATGGCCATCAAATCTGCACACGCCAGTACAGGTATATATTAGAAACAGTCTGCTCAAATGAATAGCAGATAGCTAAAAATGTGAAACCAGGTACATACTGTTTAATGGACACAGCTAAGACCTATCATGACAAGGACACAATTGATTTGAAATAGATTTGATTTTGGCTCAATATTTTGCACAAGGTTAGACATTGTATGTGTAGCAGAACTGGACTGGGTCGATAACAGGAGACTTAAGTAGCTCAATTGGTAGAGCGCGCACATAGAGTTTGAGAGGTCCCAGGTTCTAGGTGCATTTGTCCACTATTACTACATTTGGTGCCTGTGACTAACCCTTGTTTAAAACACTGGGTGAGTGCATGGCAAGGGGATACCTCTGTTAGTGTCAGCCTATAATAAGTGGTTGCTTTAACAGCGTTCAATGGCCATCAAGTTTATATTTAAATGGTTGTGAATGTAAATAAAGGACTCTCAGAAAAAGTTAGCTTGTAAAAGCGACTTATATATGGCAAGTTCAAAAGTTCACTGTAATTATCAATTTTCATATTGTCTGACATACAGAATCACTTTCACTCTTTAACCTTGTCTAGTATGGGTTTGTTTGGCCTTTTTCAGGAAGTGCTGTTCCTAGCTTTGAAGAACTCTGTGGGGAGGTCAGTCAAAAGTATATATGGCACAGCCTGACCACAGATGTGCATCATTACCTGACCACACTGGAGACTACAGCTCAGGCATGTACAACAGTCAGACCAACGAATGTAGAAAAGAAGCGGTTGGAGTTCCTTGAATTTTTTGTAAGTACATATACATGTTTTAAAAATCGAATTTTACAATGTTGCCTTGATATATATTTAGCAAATGACATTTCTAGCAAGGAAGGATTTAAGTGTGATCTTGTTATTAGGGCCCTTAAGTAATCAGTGTCTGCCTGTCCATCTATCCATCCACACTTTCACAAAAACCAAAAAGCTAATCCTTTCGAAATTTAACATGGTTATACACTGTGATATGTAGATGTGGAATAGGGGTTTCAAAAATGTCTAAGGTCAATGTAACTTACTATAACATCATGAGGAGAACAGTTCCTATCTCAGAATCCAAAAGACTTTTTTATTTTTTTATTTTTACATGATGATAATCTGATGTAGATGTGTGAAAAAGAGGTTTCTAAGGTCAAGGTCACTGCTACTAAGAATCGATCATGGGGGGTTGGGAGTATGGTCTTTATCTCAGAATCCAAAAGATTAACCTATTGGAAATTTTACGTCTTCTCACCACTTCGTATCTGAAATAAAAACACAAACACGCAAATATACATTTGCCGTACTAGCCCATCTTAAACCTAAATGATATGAAGATGTGCAAAAGAGGTTTAATTTTTTTCTCAGGTTAAGGTCAAGGTCATTGTAACTAGAAAAGGTCAGGCACATGGCAGTGTCCTTGGTGACCTGCCTGCTTTCTATTTTTGTAAGTAGATAGGAATGTTTTTTAACATGTTTATATCTGTCCTACATGAGTTGTACATGTTTTCACCTGGTCTGAATAATAACTGAAAATACAAGTTGTATATCTGTTCAGTAGAATAACTTGTTATATATAGCTGTAACATATTGAAACGTAATAAGAGTTTTGTTCATTGTCGGCAATATTTTAGAGCCATTGTGGGGAACCTTCTTGTGGTCATTGACTTAATTTTTAAGCCCCTGTGCACAGTGCTCTTGGTAAATGAGAAATTGGTTCTAAACAACCCAGTTTTCATTGATACTAAATATCAATGTACGACCATTTGTATTTTATGGTGTGCAAATAACTTCATTTTCTTACCCTTGCTATAATCTATATTACTTAACTTTACTTACTTTACTTAAAGAATGATGAAAAAGCATTTTTTGAGAAACATGACAACCACTCTGTGACCAAATCAATCCAAGGCAAAGGCGAAGAGAATAATGAGGTGACTGCAGAGATTGGGCTGGACATGCATGTGTCTGAAGATGAAGATGAATGTGAAAGTGAAGAAATCAGCATGTCCAACAATTCTGAACAGCGTACCACGGATGAGACAGGGAGCGGTAATAAAACAGGAAGTGATTTGTGTCAAGGAACAGACACTGAGGTAGGACTGAGCAACTATGTGAGTAATACTCCTAACAAAGTCTACCTGGTGTCCACCACCAGGAATCCTACAGAAACCGAGTCGGCAATAACTGTACACATAACAGAAGAAGCAGATAAAGAAGGTAAAGACAATAAAAGTGACAAAGAGGAATCATCTCTATTAAGTGAAAAAGAAGGTGTTATCAGAAGGAAATCTCAACTCTCTGACCTTGGTGAAGGAGGATTGGTGCAGCTAGCTAATGCCCTGGCCCTGGTGTCTGATCCTCTGACCGAGGCAGCTGTCCAGTCTATTATTGATGGGTCAGACCCCACACAGAAGGGGAAGGTCACACTGCCCCAAAATCCCTCAACTAGGGCAACGAAGCTAACAAACAAGAAAACTACTGTAGGTGTTATCTCAACAAAAGTTCAATCCCAATTATCAAGCAGCCATTCCAACCCACAAGATACAGAAGAGGCGGAGGGTAAGACAAAACGTCAGGAGAATATCAAATAGGAGAGTGATTTTATAGCAGCAGATAGGTTAAACTTAAGTCTTATGTTTAGTTGGTATATACTGTTAATGGGGATATTTTTATGTTGGTCAATTTATGCGAAGAATTCAGTAATTTGTTTCTTTGTTTACATGGTTATTTCCACTCAATGTCTGAACAATAAAAAATCAATATTTGGAACAAGATTCAACAGTTTGGTATGAATAATAAATGCTATGTTTGTTTTGAACACAAACAGGAATTGAAAAAAATATTTTGCGAGCTTTCGAAAATGTCTGTTTCCTGTAAATTTGTCAAGCAAAGAGTGTAATTGACCGATGTCTCCACTTTAAACTGCTGAAAACAACTCACTAAGCCAGTGTTGAATCAGTAAAGTCAGCTGTCAGAAATCATACAGACATTTTGCCAAAATAGCACTCTTATACTGCAGGCAGTCAGGGGGATGGGTAACATACATGTATGTTTATAGTTTACCCATTCCACCCCTTAGTGGACAAAACAAACTTAGCATTTAGAAAAATAACTATATTGTGACTCAGCTGACTGTTAAGGCCCTTGGGCCTCTTGTTTTGGTGTTGCAGGTGAGGAGACTGGGGATGGCAAGAAGAAGAAGAGGACATGTTTATTCACCTGTGACATATGCAATCAGATCGTCCGTGGCAATGTCAAGTTTAAAAGTAAAGATACAATACTGCTCTCTCATATGTGTCTATTTCATGTAAGACAGTAGTCGGATGGGCGTAACCTCTGTAGGTGTGGTCGTCCTAGTGGATGATTGGAAAACAAAGATGGCCGGCAGGTGGTCGTATTGAGTTTGGGAGTAAAAGTTATTTAAGCTCTATTTACTGCTCAAAAAGTATGGGAGCGATCTTTCTTCAATTTCACATAAGGGTTCCTCTTGATTCTCAGTTGTGCATGTTAACTTTTGTGGTTGATCAAAAGACTGATTAAGATGGCGGACAGGCAAACTGATCAAACAGAAAAGAGAAAAGAAGAGAAAACATCAAACTGACATAGAACTTATAAAGATGATACAATGGTGGGCGCCAAGGTGATTTGGTTATTTTTCTTAATGTACATGAGGCAATTTGTGTCATTTAAAAAATTAACACCCCATTAGGTCAGCTACCTAGGCTAGTTGAAATATAAGATTACAGTGTTTCTAAAGAATGGATAAAGCTAGCATCATAATTTGAAGTATTTTCATTAGTATCATGAGTAATAAAATTACTCTTGCTTATTTTAAGAACATGACAACACTCTGTATGATCTGAATTAAATGACATAATTTTATGTTTCTGATTGACAGTTCACTTGGCTAAACACAATGGCCAGAAGCCATTCCAGTGTGAAGTGTGCAACAAGCAGTTCACTAATATCAAGTCCAAGCGTCTACACATGCGGAGACACACAGGAGTAACTCCTTATCTGTAAGTATAGAAATTAAATCGGCTTGATTTAATAACAAAAATTGAAATGAAATTAGTATAGAAATTAGCCACAATATCTAGTCTAGGTGACTACACATGCAGATACACATAACAGGTAGTAACTCTCCTTCTGTAAGTATATAAAAGGACTAGTGACATTAAGGGTCATTTCTGGCCTCATCAGGGATTTGAATTTAGTTGTTATATTCGTAATCTGGAATAAATGAAGTATGCAAATATGAAATTTCAAATTCATTCGACAACTGGTTTAGGAGATATGGCATCACAAAGAGAGACATAAACCCGCATTTTCGTAATAAAATGGATGAATACCGTCTGTTGTGTGCAATTTGGTTGAAAATTAGTCATTTTGAAGCAAATTAACTAAATAATTGGATTTTGAAAGCCTTCGCATGCAACAAACAAATAAATATCTTGACATGCTTAAACATTGTCATAGAGGCTTTCATTTCTGCATGCTAATTGTCCAAAAACACCATCTTTTGGCTATTTCTGCATAACAACACATTTTTGTTGCTATGGTGGAACATCTACACATGCGCATAGGAAAAAATCTTCACCAGGAAAGATAGCCCCAATTAACCAATATGATGTTTATAACAGAAATTGGTAAAACAATTCAATTTGAAATTTTTGCTTTTTATGAGGCCAAAAATGACCCATAACGCCAGCCCAAAGTCCTTTACCTAAAACAAAAGTCCTCGTGGCAACACATGCAGAGATACAACAGAATTCAATTTCTTGTTTGTTTCAGATAACAAAAGAAACAAGCGAGCTCTACAGGTCCAAAAGGGCTTTAATTGTTATAAAATGGTTAGGGTACAGCTGTTTGGTCTACTTGGAGCTATATTACAGATGTATAAATCACTTAGTCTGGTCTTTGTTTTATGTTTTAGGTGCAATCTCTGTGGAAAGAAGTTCTCATTGATCGGAAGCCTTAAAGCGCACATTAAAATCCATGAGAAAGGTGGTAATGTGAAAACGAATTGCAAGATTTGTGACAGGACGTTTGCTAGCAAAAATCGTTTTGAAAGACACATGCAGTTCAAACATCCCAACACTCCTCCAGTGTACAAGTGTGATGCCTGTAGCAAGTTCTTTACCACCTCAAGTGAGTTCTTATAAGCTCCCATGTGTTTCACTTCAGTTCAAAGACAATTTATAGTACACAGCTGACAAGCAATTTTACTATTCTTGTCAGACAAAGGATGTCTGAGTGTCCGTAAGGTAGTTCTATTCTTGGAGGAACCAAAATTTTAAGTTTGCAAAAGTTCTGTCTAGTATTTCTTGTGAAATAGTGATAATAAGCTCAAAATGAAACATACACAACTAAGGACCAATGAAAATATTAATATGGAATTTGATAAGGACCTGTCAAGTACTTTTTGAGAAATAATAACAAACTTGAAGTATCAAAATTCAAGATGGCTGTCTGGTAGCCATTTTGTTTTTCCTATTCTTGGTTGTGTTCATCTAAACTTCATCAAAGTTAATGTTCCTGTTTTTGTATTGTTATACAGTTTTCCAATAGCATACCTGTTCTGATGCTATTATCATCCTGCCAATCAATTGATGTTTTGTTTTCATTACACTTCCATCCATGTTTTGCGTGTATGATTTTGTATCGATGTGATTGTCTTGTTTCTATAACAGAAATATTTCTCTCCTTGTTTTACTTGCATAGCTTAGCTTTTATCTAAAATTCTTTTTTCCATTACAGGAAGCTTGAGGCGACATACAATGTCCTTCCATATGAATGTAAAGTACCATCTCTGTGGAGTGTGTGGGAAAAGCTTCTTTAGGAAGGAGTATCTGACATCTCACTTGGCACAGCATCAGGGACTATCAGGCCTCCGAAAGATCGCAAAGAAACGTGACTCCTCCAAGGCCGAACATGGGGAGGAGGTGGTTCATGTTGAACACATGGGCCCCTCAGTTGTACAGCAGCAACAAGAACAACACATATCTGAGCCTGGAGCAATATTGGTGGATGCCTCTGTCTTACATGTTAGTCACTCCAACATCCAAAATGTCCCTCACGCAGAAATTCAGGTCTTAGAACAATCTGACGTACAAAACATTGGTTCTTCAGTAGTGCATCACATTGGTCCATCAGGCGTGACTCGGCCATCCCAGGAAGCCTTGGAGACCTACCAGGCCACACATATTGTGGCAAGTGGGGATGTAGCATCAGACAACATGGTACCTGTCGCACTGTACTCCAACTCACCAGTACAATACGCAGACACAGGAGCTCAGGTGGAGAGCACTTACTACACAATAGAGACCCCCAGCCAGGACGATGAACAACAGGTTGCTCACACAGTGGTGTATGGTTACCCTGCTGTACAGTATGAGGTAGAATGTAGCTCTGGGGCTGACCAGCTTAACAGTGAGGACCTTTCTGCCATCAATCTCCTCGCACAAGCCAGTGTATGTCAGGGTAGTGAGTCTATTACCTATGTCACACACGGGTACCAATAGTGTGTGTTTGGGCAGCAAGTCTATTACCTGCAACACACATGGGTACAGATGTACCAGTTGTCTATGTTTGGCTTGCATATCTATTATCTAGGTCACACATGGGTACCAGTAGTCTATGCTTGGCTTGCATATCTATTATCTAGGTCACACATGGGTACCAGTAATCTATGCTTGGCTAGCATATCTATTATCTAGGTCACACATGAGTACCAGTAGTCTATGCTTGGCTAGCATATCTATTATCTAGGTCATACTACGGTACCAGTAGTGTATGCTTGGCTAGCATATTTATTATCTAGGTCACACATGAGTACCAGTAGTCTATGCTTGACCAGCATATCTATTATCTAGGTCACACATGGGTACCAGTAATCTATGCTTGGCTTGCATATCTATTATCTAGGTCACACATGAGTACCAGTAGTCTATGCTTGGCTAGCATATCTATTATCTAGGTCACACATGGGTACCAGTAGTCTATGCTTGGCTTGCATATCTATTATCTAGGTCCCACATGGGTACCAGTAGTGTATGCTTGGCTAGCATATCTATTATCTAGGTCATACTTCGGTACCAGTAGTTTGTGTTTTTGGCAATGAGTCGATTACATGCTTCACTGGGCAGTGAAGTCACACACAGATACCAGTAGTGCGCTTTAGGAGATTGTGTCCACATGACTGTATGTCGCATATGGGTCTTTTTTAGGTCACCTGAGACAAAGTCTCAGGTGACCTATTGTGATCGCCTTTTGTCCAGCATCGTGCGTCCGTAAACAATTTACATTTTCGACTTCTTCTCCAAAACCCTTGAACCAATTTCAATGAAATTTTGCAGAAACCTTCCATGGCCAAAGGTCAACAAAAATAGTGTCTGGTTTGGTCCCCAGCCCACAGGGGCCTGAGGGGCGGGGCCAAAAAGGGTCAAATTGACTAAAATTTCAAAAATCTTCTTCTCAAGACCCAGATATGGTAGAATCAAATACTCTGCATAGCTGGAAGGGTCTTAAGGTGCTCTACCAAAATTGTGAATTTTATGACCCTGGGATCTCACGTTTCCCCCTGGGGATTGACTAAACTTTACTATAGTTTATATAGGGAAATCAAATTTTGGACTAACATTTGTTTAATTTCCATTGGAAATAATTCAATTTGGGTTATCATTATCAGTATTGGGTAGCAGTTTGATGGTATGCACATATCAGCCCTGACTGACCCCCCGGGGCTGATGGGAGGGGCCAAAAAGGGTCGGAATTTACTGAAATTTCAAAAATCTTATTCCCAAGACCCAGATATGGTAGAATCAAACACTCTTCATAGATGGAAGGGTCTTAAGGTGCTCTACCAAATTTGTGAATTTTATGACCCTGGGGTCTCACGTTTCCCCCTGGGGAGGGGGGTAAACTATAGTTTATATAGGGAAATCACATTTTGGACCAACATTTGTTTAATTTCCATTGGAAGTAATTCAATTTGGGTTAGCATTATCAGTATT